TAATAAGATACGTAATGGTGGTTCTAGCCAGAATAAAAATGTATTAAAAGCAAATAGATTGATCGTAATAGCGAATATAATTATAAAGGTACCAATATTTTAGGCTAGCTAGTTAATGATTTCCTTTACCTTGATTGGAACGACAGTTCGTGCGCTATATCCTAGAGTATCCGAAAACATCTTTACACATCTACGATTCAAGTCAACAGTCGCCAGAGTACCGTCATCAATCGCGGCAAAAAGAATGCCTTCCAGAGGTTTGTTATTGGATGGAACTATTGCCATATCATTAATACTAAGCCAGCCACCGTCATTGAGCTGTTCCCGCAGTCTTTCAGAATTCTTTATAAGAAGCTTGCTTAAATCATTTTCGATTGCAGATCGCAAGGAAATAGTAAATGCAGACCCGACCGCAGAATCCCGTCTTTTATCCCACATCTAAATTAAGAAGTTATAACCAGATTAAATAATGTAAATACAGTTAAAGATAAAAAATAACTATTGACAGCCTCTATTTATAATACGTTCACTATTAAAATTATTTACTAAATAGGGCTACGTTGTTCACGACGAAAATAAAACACTTTGATAAAATAGGAATTTAAAAAAGCATGCATGACAAAAGACAAAATTCACTTTGATATTTCCATTTTCATCGCCAGTTACCCAACAAAACTCGTTCAAAATGAGAGCTGAAGTCAGTTCGTGTTCATCATGGGCAACAGGTACGTGCCAGATACGAGAGCCAGTTTCGACGTTATGTATCTTAACACCTCCGACTCTTGATACGGAAAGAATTAAGTTTTCTTGAGAAGGAAAGAAATCCAGACTGTTAACACTGATGTGCCATCGCTTCTGATATATACATGTGGCCTTGTTAAGTGAACAGTCATATCTATCGAATCATGCACTTAGAATATCTTACAAGCGAACTTTTCCAGCACAAGTACCTAAAGCAAGAATTCTTTTTCCGACAGAATTCGTAAATTTTGAGCAATTGATTCCATCAATGCCAATAGGGATAGAGAAATCATCAGGAACTAATGACATGCGAGGAACATGAGGAGCATTAATTGAACGTAGCGATCTAGTTAATAAAATATATTAAAATTAGTTTGTAAACTTTAAAATAAGAATAAAAAAGATTAATACTAGCTTTTTA